TGAAATGCATATTATGCAGGGGGTTTGTAGATTGAAACACAAGCACACTAGCGCCGCAGTTTGCCCTACAATATCATATACGGCAAGCTACAGAACTATTCATTCAGTATATATCATGTAGCTCAACTGTCAATTTGTAATCCCCCTGATATTATGATATTGTTTTTCGAAGCGCTTGACGTGCAAATTTTCTCCGAATTTTTTTTCCGTTATTCGGGGTGTCAGTACAAAGTGAATTTTTTCCGCTATTAACAGGTAAAATTGTATGAAAACTTCAATGAGATTCTCAATGAACGATGATTAAATGAGACTTTGTCACTAACCGTTGGACAGTTAGCGTTACCGTTGATGATGTCATAGAAAAAAGTCAGTGATGCGTTGACACGTCGACGGCGAAGACTAATCATGTTCAAGTCTGACAATCGCTGCTCGTACGGTATGATTGAGTATTGGTTATGCACGGATGGGTATTATCGACGAGCGTACATAGTGAACTGGCGTTGCACGGATTCAATTTTGTCGCTGTGAATTTTGTGGAATGGAAGCCATACAATGGCGCAGTAATTGAGGTGAGATTGAACTAATGCAAAATACAGCGACTTTAGTGTGGTAACGTCGGTCATAACACACTGAGCCCAAACCGACTGCAATTTAAGAATGAAATTAAGAATACACTATCATTTTAATTAATTATTATCATTTTTTTCTTTCATTTTTTCTCTTTCTAATGAGGAATGAAGTATCATAAAGAAATTAGTTAAAAAACAGCAAAATAAAAACACAAAAATCAAATTAAAAATTGTATATAGATAAGAATAAATCTTTGATCAAAAAACAAACAAAATGTAAAACCACACCAAAGGTGATAAAATGTAAGAGGGACAAATGTCCTGTTTTTTTTACACCGAAACAACAATAAATTAAAAATATCATGGCAGAAGCGTTTGACAAAGCCAAGTACAGCCGTTGCCTTCGAAGTGACCATGTCGATGTGTTTGGCAAAAGATAGCTTTCTGTCAATTAGAACACCCAAGTCCTTGTGTTCAGTCACTTTGTCGAAGGTATAGTCGCCATAGGTGTAGTTTGTATCCAAATGCTGACGTTTCTTGTAGATAGATAGCACTGCACATTTCTTGAGGTTAAGGTGCAGCAGGTTCACGTCAATGCTTAAGTTTGTCGACGGCTTGTTGCAGTATCTCCGAATCTAGCTGAAATTTGATGATTTTGGCAATTTTGATATCATCAGCAAACAGTAATATAATGATGTCTGGGGGCATTCGATCAACGACATGTTGATGAAAAGCGGGAACAGTGTTGGGCCAAGGTGGCTCCCCTGTGGGACAGGACACCCACAGCTGTTACGCTGTAAAATCGTCCGACTCACTTGCTCCATGCTTGACGAATTGAACGCGATTCTCCAGGTACGACTTGAGCCATGACAGCAAATTTTGAGGCAGAATGACCTAATTTTTGAATCAAAATGCTGTGATCAACTCGATCGAAGGCTTTGGTAAAGTCCGTGTACAGGACATCAACTTGAGCTCCAATGTTCAAGCCACTCTGGGCGTAGTACACAAACTCGGTTATGTTTGATGCTGTAGATCGTCCTTTCATGAAGCCATGTTGGTTAGGCGAGATGCGATCACGAACAGTTTCAAGCAATTTTACGTTGACAAGGTGCTCGAAGAATTTAGCGATCGTTGGTAATTTTGCTATGCACCTGTAGTTTTCAATGTCCGATCTGGCGCCCTTTTTGAATATTGGTGATACACTCGATCATTTCCTTTCGTCGGGAAAAATGTCAGATGAAAGCGACTCATTGGAGATCTTAGTCAATGAACTAGCAAGCGTCGGAGCACACTCCTTCAAAATCAAAGGATGAATACGGTCAGGTCCAACACCTTTCTTGGTGTTGACCTTCGTCATTTCAGTAATGACAAAATCAAGGTCAAGCTGGAAACAAGAGGTGTTCTCGAACTTACTGAGATAAAGTCGATAAGAAATTTCATAAAAATGATCCGAGAAATCGCGGTTTATATTGTAGTTTATGCGAACATGTGATTCAGGTACTCAGGCGTACAATTTGACAACTGCTTGAATATCAAGACTGCCGAGTTCAGTTTTGCTTTGCTCTCAGGAGTCAATCCATTCAAACGCTCACGATATTCAGTAACATGATCATTACGTTTTAGTCCGTAAATGTATCGAATCTTGTCGTTATCAGCAACAAGATCGCGGTGCACCTGGTTTTGGGTGCTGTGGGCGCCCCAGCCGTATGTTACAACATTTACATAATCCATTATGGGATCAATCAGAGCTACAGCCATATCACGTTCAAAGTAATTGGGTATAAAGTGCTTAGTGTGACGGATGCGATTGAACACGCCATACACTTTTTGCAATTTACACTTGTTCTTGGAAAGTAAAGTTTTCGTTAAAAATAACACCGAGGCTCTTTATTGACTTGCAGAATTCAATTTTTTCATCACCTATTTTCACTTCATTGATCATATCAAAATTCAACCGACCCGTTTGACGCTTCGAACCAATAATCATTACTTTCGATTTTAAACTGTTTATAATCATACCACGACGTTTAAGAAAATCATTCAACTTGGCAAGGAAAAAGGCCCGTCTAGAGGCGGTTGTATGCATTAGAGGGTTAATGAATTCAGTCAATCCAAAACTTGTTAGTGGCAGAAAGTTTGCAATCTTTTTGAAACTTTTATCTAATTCCTTCTTTGAATGAAACCAAAATAGCTCCTCAAAATCTATCGGAACTTTAAAGTTCAAAAAATATTACAAACACACTCAATATTATAGCGACATCTATTATTAAAATAGCTTGTAGTAAACGCATTTATAGCATTTCACTGTAGTTGCGATGTTACCTATTAAATTCCCCTGTGGTATGTAGTTAACAAGTGTCAAACATGAATGTGTCAGTACTACAAGGGAACTTAATAGGAAACATCGCAACTACAGGGAAATGCTATAAATGCATTTACTACAAGCTATTTTAATAATAGATGTCGCTATAATATTGAGTGTGAACATTTGTTAGTTTTTGTACTTGTTCAACGTAATCTATATGTCTATAAAAGAAGTTGAATTTTTTTAATAATAATAACATCTCGAATATTTCATCAATAAGAGACAACACAAAGAAAAGTGCCGATGAAATATCAAATAAAAGGCAAAGACTCAAAAATGAAAACAACAACCTTGGCCGACGTTGTCGTTAAATCAAGACAAAGCAGTGAGCGACTTACGTTATGAACGTGAATCGTTCAGTTTGTTCATACACAGATGCTTTAACGCAGCGGCTCGCGCGACTCTCGTCAGCGGCTAAATCATCCCAAAAGCGTTCAGTTAGCTAACACTCTGAAGAAATAATTGTAGGGTTATGTTAAATGGTTTGTGTTGACATTTATTTCACAACACGAATTCCAAATAAAAAGTCTGTGGTGATTCCTGGACCAGGAATCCTGGTACCATAAATATTTCTAACTTTTTTTCACTACAAAGTCAAAAAAAACTTTGTGGTGCTCTAGCGGCCAGGAATATATTTAGTACCGAAAATCACCACAAGATTTTTAAGTTCTTGTTGTGAAATAAATGTCAACACGAACAGTTTAACATAACCATAAATTCGTTTTGTGAGAGTATTAGACAAATGCATTTTCTATTCTTGATTTAGTACATCGATACCAAAATTTCCTTTATTCTGTACTATTCTCATCAATTTTTGAGCTTTTGATTTTGGTTAACTCTAACCCCTTCAGTAAACCTAGTTATAGCGTATTGGTTAGCGTGCTAGCATTGCAGGCATGGGGACACGGGTTCGAATCGCATGTGTGCGGAAAATCTTTTCTCTTCAAAATATCATTGGTTCAATTGAATGCCAATGGCATTGTGAATTGATAGACTACGGCACATGTTAAGGCCCGTGGAGTGCTCCGGGAGGCACTTAAAGCCGTGGGATACCCGTGTACTCAATACAGAAGATGGGTTGGTTCGAGTACACGTAAAAATGGGGTGTTTACTCGTGTATATAATAAATAATAATATCCAATACACCTACCGCAACAAACAATGTACGGTTACTGATGAATATATCGGTATATCAGAAATTGAAAACATTCCTCCATTTGAAAAAACCAAAAACAAAGGATGGGCTCTATTGGAGGTTGCGTTTGAGAATGGCTTCGAACAACAACCCCACCTGGAGTAGTTGACAGCTGATACTTCAGTCGATTGGGATGGGTCTTAGGAGACACCTGCACCCAGAAAATAGAGTCAAGTCGAAAAACTGGAAAAAATATGGTTTCGATAGTGCAAAATACCTACGCATGGCTTCATAGAAAGCCACCCAATCCATCCATCTAACTCCTTTAATATTTTTTTTGTTGTTCCTTCATTGGGGAGTCTAGTTAGCCCCATTATCTTCAAAAGGTTAAAAATCATGGATTTATATCGAGAAAAGCGCTCTAAACGGCCATTAGCGTGGAATTAGGGCAATTTGACCCGAAAAAAGGGAAGAATCAAATAAATATTACGAATTGGATGGGTGATGGATGAAATTTGGATTTAGGAAACCCAAAAACTAAATGTTCCAAACATCTGATAAGCTATTCCCACTCAAATTTCGACGGCGAATTCATTTCTGATATAGTTGCATACGGATTATTGTGATTTCTATGTGTTTTTTGCGACGAAAAATGCTAAACAGACGAACTTTCATGTCCGTCCGTCCTAAATTAAATTGTTCGTCCTTCATCCGAAACGGATGGAAAAAACTAAATTGTCAAAATCACAAAAGGACAGACGGACAAAATCCATCCTTTTGACACCTTTATAAGAGATAACGTGTTTTTTTTTGTCGTAAGGAAAGTTTTAGCATTTTGGGATATCAATATAATATATGTATTACGAATTTTGATTTGAATAAACCAAAATACTTAAATGACTTTGTAAATAAATTTCACACTCATATTTAGGAACGAATGGTGCAAATCAGACGCGACAAGAATAGCGGTCTCGGTTTAAGTATAAAAGGTGGCGCTGAACATAAGCTTCCCATACTGATTTCGAAAATATACAGAGATCAAGCAGCCGATATAACGGGACAGTTATTTGTAGGCGATGCAATTATTAAGGTGAGTGTATCGTTCATCTGGAAATATTGTTACATTACTGTGATTTTTTTTACATATTATTTTTGTTATTATAGCTACATTGACTGTGATATAGCCATCCTTTGAGTTGGTGATTGTTTTGACCTATTATTTGTATGTAATGGAAACTATTAGTATAGTTCAGTCAATGTTCAGGTCAAAATCACTTCAACCATATCACAGCCGGCGACAGCGGGCGCGAGCGACGAAAGCACCTTAGTGCTGAAAGTCGAACTCGCCTATATATACACGAAATTTGGAACTTTTTTCCTAAGGGAGCATCTGGTATGAATAAAGTACGGTCAAAAAGCCCCTGGTTCATAGGCCCAGGAAAATGAATTCAAACTTGGGAATCGACCAACCGCCTCCACCGAAACAGCCGTTTGAAAATTGAGAGCAATTCTCAGTTTTTCCCATTTTACAGATGTTGAACGCAGTTCGTTCATCTTAAAAATGTTTTTTGAAGCTTCTCATCGTGACCTTTCCAACAAGCCCAAGAACATCAAAATCTGTTCATGAGTTATGACCATTTGAAAATTTTCTTTGGTGTCTCCACCAATTATTCTGAGATGATAGTTTTGTCTGTTTGTGTGTCCGTCCGTACGTCCGTACTTTTTGTCTGATCTTTTTCAAACTTTCATGCATTGAACTATATCATAAAGTAAGACTTTATTTTTCCGCCACTTTTTGATTTGGCTGCCATCTTGGCCTTCCTTCCAATGGTCACTGTGGCCAACCCAGTCAACTGATTCTTATTTTAAGTCAAAAAAATTGAGTTGGCATGGGCCAAAAATTACAAAAATGGTCTCCTGGCCTTGTACAAATCAGCCATTTTCTCGAAAACGGCTCCAACGATATTTTTTTTTCAAAATTCTCTGGATTTTTGTCTCAAGTTAGAGCTAAAATTTGACATATACCACATATCTGGTAAAATTCTTTTCTTGGGATATGGCCTGTAGAAGTTAGAAAATCATGAAAAATTGCAAAAAAGTGACAAAAAGTCATTTTGTTGGCGTAAATTCGGGCGCTACTGTGGTTAAATATTGATAAAAATTAATTTTGCGTTAATATCAATGAAATTTTTTAAGATTCCAACCCTTCACAAAGTCTTTTTTTTCATAAGATCAACTAAAATTGCGGCAAATTAAACTATTTTCTGGATTTCAGATTTATCGCATTCATTATCCAATATGTGAAAGAAGAGAACTATATCTGATCTAGATAAAATATTCAAATCTTGGAAAATTTTCCGAATTTGAAAGATTTGAGTTGTTCCATTTTATAGCAGTCTTTCGATAGACGATTATTCAAAAAAATTGTTCCTACATAAAAAAAGTAGAAACAATACATTAAACTACATAAAATCTACAATTGAAATCGCCCTACCCGAAGTAATTTCGGCAATTTTTCCAAGATTTGAATATTCATCTTTGGATCTACATGTTTCAGACCAAAAGGAACAAAAAAAATGTCGGGCTCTGTCGGGCCAAAATCGAGTCCCGAAAAAAAAAATTTTGTTTCTTTTGGCCTGAAACATGTATAGATCCAAAGTTTCATCAAATTCTGAAAGAAAAATATGTTTTGCCCGAAAAAGCCCCGTTGCGACCTCTGCTCTTATATCGCTACTAGCTATTTTTTGTCTGAAATTGGGGCACTCTCTTTTGCGACTTTTAATCACCATGTCAATGCAAACTGAGCAGTATGTATGACCACATTCTAATGAAATAGGTTTTATTAAATCACCAAGTTGCATTAGATATTGTAAACAAATGCAGCATATGGGTGCGATGTTATTTTGTTGCGCATTTAGCCCCGCAGCATTCACTCCATTTCTATTGATTGCAGCGGGTGATCCATTATTATTGTTCGCAACGACCTGTCCACAATTGGCAGCATTATTAGCAGAATCATCAACAACATTATCGTTGGTCCAATTATTAGCAGCATCGGTGACTGCATCATTGTTGGCATCAGGAACAATAACTTCGTTAGCTCAACATTGTCATGGGTTGCATCGTTAACAACCTCATTGCCGATATAAGGAGCATTGGGTATGATTCCAGACTCATTGACTTTGATGGATTGACCAAAATTGTTGTTGAAATCAATTTGGATGAACTCACTGTCACTATCAAAACTACGTGCTTGCCTTACACAATCATTAGTTCCCAGTGTTTAATTAAGATGATGAATTTTATCTAGATAAAAACCAGATAAGACCTAATTTTTGTGTTTTAATCTAGATAAAGATAGGATATTTATCTTATCTTTTATAAAAAAAGATAATGAGATAATTCTATCTAAAACTAAAAAAAATTGCGTAAAAATCTCAAAAAATATTTCTTTCTGATATTTTTTACAATTTCTGAACATTTCGTCTTGCAGTTTTTTTCTCGTTTTTTATCCAATAGCAATTTTTCCTCTCCCCTTGAAATTTTTAATTGATCAATTTTAGAATTATCTCAATTTATCTTCAAAAAAGATAAGACAACGTGTAAAAATAAGATAAAGATAAGATATTTTGACGATTTTTTGAAATTAATCTAGATAAGATAAAAGATATTATCTTATCTTTTATCTTATCTCGATATTTATCTTTGTCCAAACACTGTTAGTTCCATCGTTGATTCGTCTATCTGCCCCGGAACTTCTCAAGTCATTTTCAAAACTCAAACGACGAGCGCGTGGCGGAATAGTGTCGCCGATCGGATGCGTGGAGTTGAATAGATTGCTTCTTGTGGCGATGTATATGGTGAAAATCGCGAATAAAAGTTTTGTTCCTGATGCCGAGTAAGATTGAACAAGAGCCGAGTTGTTGTTTCTATTTGTTGGAATAGAAATTGCCTGAACCCATTCATTTGTTGGTGCACTATAGCAAATTTCAGTTGGAAGATTTACGTGATTTACCCTGATTTTGAAGTGTATTTTTTTCTATAAATGGGATGTGTATATTTTTTCAACAAGTAGGACAAATCTGTATTGTGAATCATCATTTGGTATCGATCGAATCTATGATACAATTACTCGATGAATATCTTAATTTTTATCTAAAAAACGACAGATAGATAGTCGAAAAAAACTGAAAAGATAATAAATAAGATTTTCGATATTTTTGAAAAATTATCTAGATAAGATAATAGATACTATCTATCTTATCTTAATATCTCATCTAAGAAAGATATCTTAACCAAACGCTGGTTATATCGTGTCAAAATCACTTGATGATTGCCTTCGATGTGATCGCGTCAACGCCTTACCTTTGATGTGACCTGTCAGGGCTTTCCGACCATACAGACCTGACCTCAGGTCGCAGGGCGCGAAATGGCGCATCAGCGCATTTCTCAATCCATATAAGCTACTCATGAAGCTTCTCCTAATTCCTTTATTTAAACATAAATAATTTTATTTATGATGTAAATTTTACATTAGGTCAATGGGGAATTTATAACAGCGTGTGAGCATGACGATACAGTTAATATTTTACGAAATGCAGGTAAATTTTATTTCTTCAGTAGCCTATGTTTATATTAGAACATTCTCAGCTAGCACAAAATTCTCGGATATACCGGTATATTCGAGGCCAAAAGTGGTGTCAGAATTATAGAAGTAAATAATAAGATTTTTATTACTTATTACCGAGGGGCAAATCACTCTTTTTGCAATTACTTCCCAAAAGTTGCAATTACTCCATTTTTCAACAATTACTGATCGGTTGCAATTACTTGTATATGGAAAGTAATTGTAAATTTTAAGGTAATTGCTGAAAAAAAGAGTAATTGCAACTTTTGGGAAGTAATTGCAAAAAGAGTGATTTGCCCCTCGCTTATTACCGATTTTCTGTAATCAGATCGGTAATAACTCAGATTTTATTACGGGTAATAACACCGGTAATAATTATTACGCATCTTATTACCGAGTAATAACACCGGTTACCGTGTTATTACCATTAATAAGTAATAACGAAAATAATAAATATTACCAATTTTTACTTCTATAATCATAAAAAAGGACATCTGATGTACCGAAAAGTGCAGATGTACTGCGGATTATAGTTGCACAAAATCGATATTTTAATAATATGAATGAGTGAGATTGAAAACAAGACATATTCTGACAATATATCGTTATGATACAAAAACGAATGATTTTTTTAAAGTGTAACATCGGCAGAGAATTTTTCGAAGTGAAACACCGCGTGTTACATTTCAATAAAATTTGTTTTCCATGATTCACTTTGAAAAACGTTTGCGCTGGTGTTTCGTTTGTAAATACTTGTTGGATGGTGTTTCGGTTCTAGGAATGCATGATAATTTTATTGATAAGGAATGCGAATTTCGATGTGAAGATAACACATGGGAAGTTTGTATGAAAACCTCGGAGCGCCAGTGTTTTACCCGTATTGTTATACACATCAACAAAGCAGTCTGCTTCACCGTAGAAAAGAAGTGCGCAGTAACGAACAAGAACGTTCAGGTTTCGGCAACGTTGCATTATAGCGATTATGAATGAACGTAATTCATTTATTTTTTTTTTATTTTTTTATTTATTTACGGCAAATGTTTATAACATGAACGCCCTTAGTGACTAAAGAGTACAAAAATATGCTTAGAATATAAAATTTTCTATTCAGATTACAGCAGATAAATAATTGTACTTTTTTGTAAATAATTTTTAAATGTTAATTCATTTTTTTCTGTATATAAACTTTTTCTTCTTTGGTTTCTTAATTGTTAAATTCAATGTTTGTTGATCTAACAGTAATTTTTTCAATTTATTCTTGAAAATATTAGCATTTTTTGCCTTTTTTATTGGGGATGAGATATTATTGAATGAACTAATACCACGGTTAATAAAAGATAAAGTGCCCCACTTATTCTTCGGTTTGATCTTATGCATATTTTTGGATTGTCTTGTTTCATGATAATGAATATTATTTTAGTAATGAGAAATGTAACGAGAAATTACGTTCATTCATAATCACTAGTGAAGCCACGTTGCCAAAACATGTACACGCACTGCACACTTCTTTTCTACGGTGAAGCAGACTGCTTTGTTGACGTGTATAACAATACGGGTTAAAATTGCACGTAAGTGTGAGCGAAATAGCATGAGTTTTCGGCGTCCGAGGGAATAGGAACTTCCGAGCTGGTTGAATGATGGCTCAATGGGAAGCCATCAATTTGTTACGTAAGGGTTTGAGAGCGATGGACACATTATTTTTGCCGAATTCTGCTCGGAAATCCGAGTTTTTGCTATGTCTAGATTTTACCGTATAAACCAATGTAATTACACCGGCGCTCCGAGGTTTCCATACAAACTTCCCATGTTGACGGTCGCAATACAGCCGTAATTCGAAAAAAAAATTTAAATTTTTTTTCTCGATTTTGATACAGTATTTATTGTGCCCAATCCATTGGTGTTGTCACCACAACGAAATTCGCATTCCTTATCAATAAAATTATCATGCATTCCTAGAACCGAAATACCATCCAACAAGTATTTACAAACGAAACACCAGCGCAAACGTTTTTCAAAGTGAATCATGGAAAACAAATTTTATTGAAATGTAACACGCGGTGTTTCACTTCGCAAAATTCTCTGCCGATGTTACACTTTAAAAAAATCTTTCTCTGGTGTTTCATTTAAATATACTGTGGAAATATGTCTTGTTTTCAATCTCACCCATCCATATAATATGTCTGTTAATAACGATATTAATATGGTTAAATTATTAACATCTCGTGTTAATAATATATTAATAATTAATTAATATTATTCTATTAACATATTTACACCATTTAAAGAGTTTTAAACCTGCTATAGCAAAGAATCGTGCTTTTTGACAGATGTACTAAATTGAATGTTTTCTGTGTCGTCATCTGTTGTCGGTGATACTAATATCTTCTCGTACGGTTCTGATGAAGATTTCATTTATTGTTTATCCAATTTTATACAAAATCACTTTTCCATTCATAAACCAATTTAGAAAAGAAAATCACCGTTTTTTCGACTATTGGCATGCAAAATGCACAAAACATAAGAGTGAAAAAATTGTCATCATCAAGTTTAAAACACGGCACGACCAATTTCACGTGTTGCAACTTTGTTTTAAAAAAAGCCGAAAATTATCTGAAAAAAAAACACTAGTACAAAATAATGAATGGCAAATCATTCTTTTGTCTCTTTGTAGACATCAAATCTCACATTTTCAATTGAAAGTGAATTTTTTTTCCATGCAACTCATCGTAATACACATAGGGGTATTGCAACTACCATAATATATATGTATTTCATCAAGTTTATCAAGCTCTTTCCAAGTTTATGCATAGTGTCGAACTTTTGTTCAAGCTCTACCATCGAAATGTACAGCAAAATAATTTACGGGCACGACGTAAGTTGGCGTTTTTTCTGGTCAAGAAAGTTGCAATATCCCTTTGGTAATACACAATCACGTGTTTAGTACATTTCATCGATCAATACCGACACTGAACGCGACCTTTCAACGTCGGTAATGGTATCTGTCAAACTTAACGCTCTGAAAATGACATTCATAGCAAACATCAAAAAATAGTCAATATTTTATTTTTAAATTTTTTTTGGGAAAACTTGCATAACATTCACTTCGAAATCATAGCTTTTGAAAAATGTCGTGCCGAGGTGGTGTTGAGACTATGCAACGAAGTGAATGTTATGTAATTACTTAAGTTTTCCCAAAAAAAATTAAAAAATAAAATATTGACTATTTTTTTATGTTTGCTATGAATGTCATTTTCAGAGCGTTAAGTTTGACAGATACCATTACCGACGTTGAAAGGTCGCGTTCAGTGTCGGTATTGATCGATGAAATTTTCTAAACACGTGATTGTGTATTAAGATGAGTTGTATGGAAAAAAAATTCACTTTCAATTGAAAATGTGAGATTTGATGTCTAAAAAGAGACAAAAGAATGATTTGCCATTCATTATTTTGTACTAGTGTTTTTTTTTCAGATAATTTTCGGCTTTTTTTAAAACAAAGTTGCAACACTTGAAATTGGTCGTGCCGTGTTTTAAACTTGATGATGACAATTTTTTCACTCTTATGTTTTGTGCATTTTGCATGCCAATAGTCGGAAAAACGGTGATTTTCTTTTCTAAATTGGTTTATGAATGAAAAAGTGATTTTGTATAAAATTGGATAAACAATAAATGAAATCTTCATCAGAACCGTACGAGAAGATATTAGTATCGCCGACAACAGATGACGATACAGAAAACCTTCAACTTAGTACATCTGTCAAAAAGCACGAAAAGGTTTCAGGTTCTTTTTTCGAAGATGTCATTTCCTTATCTCTTATCAGTCCCGCGAAAATTGATAAGAAAAAACTGACAATTTCCGTGGTTTTTTGCGTATTTGATAAAAGATAACGAATTAGTGTCTTGATCAAATTTGTAGTACTCAACCTGCTCATCAACTTTGCTTATGATAGTTATCACTTATCTTTTATCAATTACGCAAAAAATGATAATCAAAATCCCTTTCAGAAACATTATCCTGTTATCAGTTTTATGCGGTTTTTCGCGTAACTGATAAGAGATAAGTGATAACTGTCAGCAGCAAAGTTGAAGAGCCGGTTCCGGTTGAGTACTACCACTTTGCCCAAGACACTAATTCGTTATCTCTTATCAAATACGCGAAAAACCGCGGAAATGTCTAGTTTTTTCTTATCAATTTTCGCGGGACTGATAAGAGATAAGGAGATGACATTTTCAAGAAAAACTGTAGCTCTTGACTTGATCAACAACTTTGCTGAAGAGATATATCACTTATCTTTTATCAGTTTCGCGAAAAATGAGATGGCATGCATACCTTATTTCCATACAAATGCATGTAAATGTATACGGGTCTAGCCAGACCCGAGGGGTCCGTTCGAAGGTGTAGTTTTTGTATATCCTTATATCATCCTTTTTGAGGACTTTTTGTAATATTTGTTTTGCTAGATCGATAGTCAATGAAATTTCAGGCAGATAACTTAAAACTCAAGTCGCTAGCTAAATCAGAAATATTTTAAATTAACGATCAAAAATGAAAAAGGTCTGGCTAGACCCAGGGTATTCGTTTTTTTCTTTTATTCTACCACCGACAAAAAACCGAAAAAATGGTTTTTTCACCATTTGGGTGCTTGGCGGTGTAAAAAAACGATATTAACATTCGATGTTAATATCGATATTAACATTGCATTAATAGCGATATTAACTTCCGATGTAATAATTTTACTATATTAATTCGTTATTAACATCAACATATAAACAATAATATTCTATTAACCTTCAAACCGTAAATTGGGCACTGTGTGCCCAAAACCAACTTTGAATGCTTATATCTTAATTATTTCTTTTCATAAATTAATAAAATAACTATGGTTCGATTCGTTGAACATTTGGCTACAAAAATCGCGTTAACATACCCACATACGCGCACTAGCTTACCACATATGCGCGTAAACATGTGTGATGCGCTATACGTAAAATGGGTGCCTGAGTGCCCATATACATTTTTCGACAAATTGCGTATAAAAATAATGTGGGAACTATGAAATATACATCATTGGAAAGATCTTGAACAGTACATGTAATTGAGTTATAAAACATCAAAATCGATCATCATTTTATCAAAATATGGCCATTTTATCCATTTTGGCCAAAAAATTCCAACGGCCAAATATTGGCCAAATGCCGGCCTATTTTGAAGTTTTATACCAAAAATGACATCTACTTTTCAAGACCTTTCTAGTGATATACATAACTTTTTGATCCAACCTGCCGTTCAAAATCTCAATTTTTGACGTCAAAATCGGCCATAGTGGATTTTGTATGTATATGTTTTTGCCTTCATTTTTGTGAAGAGATCAACATAGCGATTCCCACTTTATTGAAAAAATTCCAAGAAACTTGCTGTTGTCTTTCATATTTCGATTTTTTATGACTTTTATAACATTTCAAAGTAATTTTCATACTTTTCCGATCAATGAATACTGAAATATTTACATTTAAAAAAAAATTTAAGAAAAAACTGACATTTCCCTATAGAAGTAAAAAAATGTAATTCTTATTACTTTATTACCAACTTATTAATGTAATAAGGTGACCTATTACTTATTACGCATCTTATTACTTGTAATAAGATGAGTAATAAGATTGTAATAAGATGATTGTAATAAGTAATAAGATCATCTTATTATAGTAATAAGATTGTAATTGTAATAAGATTGTAATAAGTATCTTATTACTTTTGGTGCAAAGAAAAAAATCGCAAAAAAAGTTTCATGTAAAAAACATGTCAATTTTTGTCAGACGAAAAAATGTTGAAAAAAAATGTGTCTTGCAAAATTTGATATGATTTTTGTATGAAACGTTTGAAGAAAAGTTTCATACAAAAAACATGTCAATTTTTGTCAGTCGAAAAAATGTTGAAAAAAATTGACATGTTTTTTACATGAAACTATTTTTGCGATTTTTTTTGCACCAAAAGAAATAAGATACTTATTACAATCTTATTACAATTACAATCTTATTACTGTAATAAGTCTATCTTATTACAGTAATACGATAGACTTATTACTTATTACAAGTAATAAGATGCGTAATAAGTAATAAGTCCATCTTATTACGGTAATAAAATGAAATTAATAAGTAATAAGTAATAAGTTACTTATTACTTTACTTCTATACATTTCCCATATAAAATGCATTATGGGCACTCAGGCACCGATTTTACGAACAACGTTAGAAAATACATTTTATGGTTTGAAGGTTAACTGTGCAACTTTACTGCGGATATACTGACAGCGTATATTTAATATGCATTTTTTGGTCCATTCGGCCGATTTTGGTACATCAGACACTCTGTTGTCCTAGCTGAATTTGTTTTGTTTTACTTATTTCATATAAACATAAATAAATGGTTTGAAATGAGTATCCTCAGTAACTTGTTTCCCCATTTGATTACAAACAGGTGATATAGTGGTATTGACTGTGAAGCATTATAAGGCAGCAACTCCCTTTTTACAAAAACAATGTAAGAATATATATTTTTCACGATTTCAAATACATTTTACGAATAAATCAAATTAAAATTTATGCCGGTGCAACAGGAGTAAAATTGTTGAAGAGCAAATGCAAAACTGGAGTCATTTTAAATTACTTTTGCCCCATGAATTAGACTAAACTATTTTAAATGCTATTACTTTCGTATGGTCAAGCTGATTTTATTGAAGTCTGATTTTATTGATATTCACATTAAGGTAGTAATTTAGGCCAAACATTTGTTTAAAGTAGAGTGAAACTGGATACTGGAGATTTTGCATTGACGTTTCCGACTGTAAACATGACAACAATTCATATGCGTGTGCTGTCAAAGTCACTTTGTCATGCGTCATTCACATTAATGCTTTGACTGATTGTGGTGAACAGTGGTGAGATTGGAAACGACATACATTTTGTATAAATTATTTGTTTGGGAATTATATTCATTTATTTTCTTTTATTGTTGATATTCGGGCTCTGCAAAGCCTAGGCTTCATCCACGATTTGTTTTTCAAAGAAATATTTCGAAAAAATCGTGAGTTTGCACTGTCAACACTTGTGTGGTTTTTCATATGATTTTGAAGTCATCGAATATTGCCACCCGTTCACACATTCAATGAACTTGCTACACCAAGTGATAGTTCAGTTCATTGCTGACGTTTTCCAATCCGCCATACGTTTTTATATGTGTGTGTACATCAAAATGTCAAAGTTGTCAAGAATGTAACCGTTCTCCTCGTTCTTTATTTTAATGATTCTCACAATGCCTGATCATGTAACATGCCGATCATTGTTGAACGGCGCAATAATTTCAGGCGTAATGATCATTTTGGCTACTTGAATGGTAACAATAATACTCATATGTTCCATAATAGCGACCAGAATGTGAATCTAAACAGCCGAGTAGATGGTAGATACCAATACGGTGTCCCTGATAATTTCCATCATGGTCATTTTGCGCATTACGACCAAACAATGAGACCACATTAACAGTCATCGTCTTTTTTACCGCAACATTGGAACGATCCACAGCAGAATTACCATACGAACCAATATCAACATCGATGCCAGGGGGGGTCTGGAAATCGATTCTATCTAGTGTAAAACAGTCAAAATTCCACAATGGGGGTCTAAAATTTTGCCAATGGGTGTCAAAAAACAAGTGAAGACCTAAAAAATCGATTATATCTAGTGTCAAATTTTCCAAATCGCTGGGGGGGTCCACATTTTGGAATCCTAGAGGGGGGGTAAAACCGGAATACCCCCCCCCTTGCCCACGTCTGTTCATCGCCCACCTCTACGTAAATTAAAGAAAAAGATACACACGCAAAATATCAATGGAGTGAGATCCAGACTTTCGGAATTTAACGCTGACATAATCGCTTCTGATTCAGCATTATTTATGCTTTGCGAAACTCGCCTTGACGGCACAATTGATTCTTCAGAGGTTTTTCCTCCAAATTTTACTGTGTATCTCTATGACCGCTCGATTGAAACTGAATCAAAACAAAAGAATACCGTAAAGAATAATATACTGATTAATTCTAACAGCCCTTATTGCTGTTGATAGGACAATTGAATCAGAACTCATCAGCACAGGTGAGCAGTATGGCGCTGAACAATTTGTGTTATCCTGCCATTGAAAGACAGTAATGTTTTATCACGTCGGCGAACGATGCCCGCTTATTCCATATGGCCATTGACCAATTGTACGAGTGGTGTAGGCTCACCAAGCTCTACTTGAATCTGAAGAAATGTTTTGTTATGACATACGCGAAAAACATCACCGTACGGAAGTATGAATACACGATAAACGATAGGCAGCACAAGTTTGGCAGAATCGAGCTACACAGAGACTTGGGTGTCATATTTGACGTGAAACTCACATTCGTCAATCACATTGATACAACAGTAGCTAGCGCACATGGTGTATTAGGTTTTATTAAGCGAACACTGAAAAACCAGTTTACTGTAGAATCAGCAAAAATGTTATATTGTGCCTTAGTTCGATCGAAATTAGAGTATGCTAGTGTAGTATGGCATCCATACCACCAGTCATACATTGAAAAAATTGAATCAATTCAGAAAAATGTTGTAATATGGGCACTTAGAGGAGTTTACCAAAGAGATGTTAACTACAGATTGCCATCGTATCAATTTAGATGTGATAATTTGAATATTCAACCGCTTTGGAGCCGGCGTATAAATGCCTCAGTATTTTTAATTTATGATCTCCTCTTAGGAAAGTTGATTTGTACGGCACGAGAGAAAGAATTGTATAAACGAGACGAGGAGATAACAGAAACCAAAGAAATATGCGAAACAGAGATTTAGTTAGAATTGAAACGTATGGCACGGACTATGCTCGTAATCAGCCATTTATTCTAACGTGTAGGAACTTTAACAAAGTAAGACAATCGTTTTTAGATTCGACATCAAGACAAATATTTAGTCTGAATGTATTCAATTTAGATAATCGTGTATTTGAAGAATTGTATGTATAGTGATGAGCGGTGAATACAATCGGTTGCCGCAGAATGTCATTTCGAAGTCATTAGGGCTGGTGGCTGGGCTATCCCATCGGGGAGTGTTTCATTGCTGGTGTGAAATTGTAATTTGTATATGAATTGTATGATATTATTCAGTCTGTGATTAGACGGTGAAATAAACAATAATAATAATAATAGTAACAGGTAAATCTTTTACACATGTAATATGACATGTGATCCTATTACAAAAGTACACAGTGAAAAATAAAAGTCCACACTTAGGCGGATTTTCGACTGGTAGAGGCGCCCAGTCTTATATTTTGCCTAGTAAATTGAGTTTCAGACGAAAAACCGACTAGATTATAAGCGGAATTTCGCCTGCAGCTCAAATTACTAGCAGCAATATCGGCTGAATGCGTTTTTAGCTGAAAAAACGGCTAGATGTGGACTTTTATTTTTTACTGTGTAATAGTTATAGTAATAGATGATAATGGGCATTGCAATTTTTTACTTCTATAGTTTACTGCGACCAAATGTGGCTTAGTAGTAAAACCGAGTAAAAATACATTCTTTTAAAAAATTATTGTATGTAATTACTATTATATACATACTGTTAGCTGAAATGTTCAGTGATTACGTCAAATTACCCCTTTGAGTCGACAGCGAAAGAAGCCGTTATCGATTGCTATCAACTGACACAGATCCTGGTGCAATTCGTTTAATTCAATATTATTCCAATTTGAATGGTTTGGAGCGAAAATGTAATACAGAAAAATTGAGCGGGAAAATGTCGATGATGAATGAGCGGAAATGGGATAGCTATATACGACCATTCCACACCAAGCGGGACAAAATTTGCAAGTGACCTCTCCGATTTCGCTCAAACTTGGTGTATAAACTTCTTATGGCCAAAAACTCGCAAAGCCAAAAAATTTGGGTGACCTTCCCCACCTGATGAAAAGTTAGGGTGACCCAAATATTGAAAAAAATGAACAATGGCACTTTTTGACATTTTTACATTAGAAAAGTGTGGTACAAACTTTCAAAACTATATGCATGGTTGGATAGATAATCGATGAGGCTACAAAAAAGTCCACTACGACAACCCCATCCGGGCTCATTCAAGCTCTGAAAATTGGGTTCAAAGTATAAATTGTGAAAAAAGTCAATTAGACGTGGTTTTATTTTTTCGAATGTTTGGGCTTAAAAGTCGGCCCACCTCAAATTCTTGAGTTTTTCGATATTCCCTAACTATCCGCCAACTCATATTTTATGAGAAAAAAATTCGGTGTTTTTACCATTTACAATTTTTTCATGGTTTTTCGACTACTTATTTTTTTTTCACACCAAATAGGTGGTCTGACACTGGTGAAGTGTTCTGATAAAATTCTCGCCAGACTCCAGCGAATCAAAAAATAACAATGTTTGGGGTCGCCCTTCCCTTTGAAAGGGAGGGGGAGGATAAAAAGGTCGAAAAATCACCGAAAATCACTATTTTAGGGCTAAAACAGGGCAGAAACCCTCTTTTAACCCCAAATCACTGTTATATTTGAAAAGCTGGTGGAAAATCCAACTTATGTGTAGAAAAGAAGAGTGGGAACCGTCGTGAAATAGCACAATTTTTCGCAACACATTTTGCCAAAGCATACACCAAACCAGATTCTAGCATAATTGAAGATAATTCCGGAGATGAACCATTGCTGAAAGATCTATGTGCTAGCTTTCCTACGATTGATATCATCTACTAAAGGTTTTAGATAGAAAAAACTGCCGAAAAAGGGGATTTTTCATGACAATTTTCCATAAAATGTGAAAGTTAGATACTGAGGATTCTCGTAAAATCATATTTTTGCAAATTCCGACTCAAAAATGGTTCAAAGTGCTTGCTTTTCATTACGGATTTACGTTTTTTTATTGATTCACTTCAAAATTTTGCGTGAAGAATACTTAAATTGCGCATTTAAAAGCTAAATTTTGAGGATATTTATGAAAAATGATACTTTTAACTGTTTGGACCCAAAAATAGTCCGAAGTAGCTATGTTTTATTGCTGATTTGAGTTTCTTTGATCATTTTTCACTACTTTTGACCCGTTCGTCACATAGAATTGCATGAAAAAGCAAAAAACCAAGTAAAACTAAATTTTGAAAATCTTCTGCAAAGCAAATTTTTCAAATGACCATAATTTTCTTATATGGAACCAATTTGGCAAAACCCTTTTGAGGGTTTTCATGTCTCATGGGCCTCTCCAAACTTTGATGTATCCGCTCTGGGTTAGGCAACTTTGACTTTTTTTTGTCGCACAGTGTAATAATAATAATAAATTATTATTGTTGTTGTACACTCACTGTGCTGCGAATGTCTCGTATACACAATCACACGAAATCACAAATATTCGTACGGATTCGTCTCAAGCGCTTGTGTTCTTACCCCCTAGGATGATTGTCTGCAATTGCAAGCGGATTTGAATGAGCTTGTTGAATACTTTAATCGGAATCAGCTAAAATTGAATGTGTCAAAGACTAAATTTGTGTCATTTTATCGTGGAGACATGAAATTCAACTTCAAGTATTCAATTGGCAACGAGCAAATTGAGCGAGTCAACGTGATAAAAGATCTGGGAGTTATACTCGATCATAAATTGAACTTTACTTTACACATTGAATACATTACAGCCAAAGCATAATCACGTTTGGCCTGGATTAAACGATTTGGTAGAGAGTTTGAGGATCCATGGACCATGAAGAGACTATTTAACACATTTGTCCTTACGATTGTCGAATATGCATTGTCTCAAGTATGGAATCCATACACAGCTGAAAAGATTGCCCGAGTTGAATCCATCCAGAAACAATTTCTGTTGTTTGCACTTCGTAAAATGAAATGGCCACACAGATTTAGGAAACCATCATATGAATGCTGACTGCTTGAATTACAAATGATAACGCTCGAAGAACGGAGAAAAGTAGCCCAAATATCACTCGTACATAATGTGATGTGTGGACATACATCATCGAAACACATTTTGAGCAAAATAAATATTAGAACATCGCGACATGGGACAAGAAACTCAAATTTCCTATCATTACCAATGCGTCATCGTGATTACTCAAAGTTCGAGTTAATAATAATAATAATAATAATAATAATAATAAAAAATATGCGATCTGAGTACTTATAATTTTTTTTTCTGTCAATTCATTTACATTGCACCATGCATTTTTCCGCTGTTCTTTTGTATTTTAGCAATAGAAAAAGTAAGACAATTTATTTGTCCTCGATTGTTTTTAATATTCTCTGATTTAAATCATAAAAATTGGTGTGATCTACTTAATAAAACAAAACATGGGAACTCGTCGACTATACGGCACAAATATATGTGCCCAATTCGACACAGTCGGACAAGTACTTTGCGCTGAGCGGCGCTGAGTACCTTTGTCAGGCGCGTAGTGAATTTCTGATTTCTACGCGTTTCACAGGTCTGATTGGGACAATTTGCGTTCCCATTCACGATGTCGTACATGAATACAATTGATGCATTCACTCTCCTACGCTCCAACGATGTCATGTTCAACGCCTCAAGTTGTTTGTTGTAGTCGGTGATACTGTAGCCGTTGGTCGCTGCACGGTATTCTCTTCGAGCGAACTGGGTAAATTTTCTCGAAATGCTCTTTATTTTGTCGATATGTATTGCATTCGGTAGCTATACAACGTTGCAGTACCCGAGGTGAGATTGAACCATTGCGTAGTACAATGTTTTGAGCGTTTGAACATCGGTTATGTCGTAGCAAAATCTCTTCGTGAATCCAAGGGCTGCGGTCGCCTTCAATGTTATCGCGTAAATCTGCTTGACAAAACTAAGTTTCTAGTCAATGATGGCGTCGAGATCTTTGTGGTCCGATATGCGCTTGAACGTGAAATCACCATATTTGTATTTTGTATCGATAATGTCCTTCTCCTTTGTGGTGATTGTAAGGACTGCGCATTCGTCAAGGTTCAGGTGCAAACTGTTTAAGTTTTAAGCCTTCAATTTGTCGATGGCTCGCTGTAGCACTGCAGCATCCGTGCTCGAGTGGATGATTTTGGCAATTTTTACATCATCGGCGAACAAGGAAATGAACACGTCGTCCATTTCGTCCACTATGTCGACTGAAGCCAGATAGTCTGTAGCGTTTCCATGCCTTGTTCTTCCTATTTTTTAATGTTATAAGGGATTTATTTTTCTACGGACGTTTTTGTATCGATTTGACGATGTATGTTGGCACAAATTTGATAATTGCATTGTACAAAATCTTGTGTTCACTTTCTCAGTGATTGTCTTACATGACCTGTGCATTCATGTCCTTATATTTGGCACGCTTGAAGTTGAATGCTTTTGTTGTGATGTTGGCCTCGGTTGTATTGTTTCCATGCCAGTCAAATGTATCTAATATCGGTGGACGATGATCTTCCACTTCCATCAGTGCGTTAACCGGCACTGAAAACGAAAGTAATAGAGAGCATATTTAATGCGCAATTTTTTATTTTTGAATCATTTTGATATATGTTTTGTGCCACGATAAATAGAGAAAGACCTCATACTTATATTTTTGAAAAATTGCGTATTAGTCGCGAAAATCGAAAAAGAGTCAAAAGTGTCAAATCGTTATAAAAGCCTGAAAAAAATTAAATTTCATAAAACTAATGATGCAGAAAGTTAAATTGATGTATTTTGGTCCTACGAGTCCTAATTTAACAATTGAAAAGAATGTACAAACCCACAAGATGAGAGGATGAAAAATTTGGAATTCTGCTATAATTTCGCATTTTTTTACAGCAGTACATGAACAGAAAAAACTTTCCATTATCATAAGCTAACCAATTGTAGCCGGTAAGGTATCGAATGAAAGCTAGTTCAATTCCCCACATTTGTTTCCAAACACGAATGCAAAAATATTCAGTGATTTACTAGCTATAGCGTTTGCTGTATCTGGTTACTTCAGAAACCAATAAGTGATAAAGGATTAATGTGCATATGTTGCAAAGTTATGATGATCTCGTGTGTGAGATCAATTGACCAATCATTTTTAGGAAAAAACAATGAGATGATTTTGTCAATATAAATAACAATTTTGTTAAGAAAGAATTTGGACATATTTTGGATAAACTTGTCATTTGATAGCAGTGATTAAAATAAGCGGTAGTTCTACCGGAAACTGGTAGTTCTTAAATGAAAAATGCAGCTCTAAATTTGAAATGCGGTAGTTGCTATTTTGGAAAATTTGACACTAGATATAATCGATTTTCAGAAGTGAGGACCTTTTTTTTTTTTTTTTAGTCCTCACTTTTTTCGGAGACTGGTTTTACACTAGATAGAATCGATTTCCAAAAGTGAGGACCTTTTTTTTAGGTCATTGATTTTTTCAGCTCGAACGGTAGTTCTTAAAATTCTTATTTTAATCTCTGTTTGATAGAGTAACTATTTTATTTAGACGGAATTGTATTTAATCATTTTTATATTTAGTGGCTCGAGACACGCCTGATTCTGATAATGACGCCATGTGTGTTGAATTAAAAAAAGATGAAGGATGGAAAAAATCGTTCAACAATAGTAGACCGGTTTCAGTTGCATCAGACATCACGGACCGAAATGATAAGAAATGGGTCGACATTATTTCAGGTTAGTTAAACGCAATCTGCTTTCAATGTCACCCATAGAATTTTTGTACAACTACAGAATAAAGTCTTTTTTCAACATCTCTCACTTTGCTAATGATCCCCTTTTTTATTAGCGAATGTCTGTGAAATGAAAATAAATTTTTTCTGATAGATTGAGTCAGTTTGTTGCTAATAGAACCAACTATTTTTCTACTATTATCGGAATTTTTGTCTATCCTTAGTACCACTTATGATGGCATACGTAACACGATTTATTTATGGAACCGATAAGCTGAGGACAAATGCGTTTGAAGTGCGTGGATTGAATGGAGTTTCCAGTGGAATCATACATTGTGACCTGGCGATTTTAAGTCAATGGCTTAAACTCATCTCTGATAATATTGTGGGTTTGACTCAATTGCAGGTAAATTTGACTTCATTTTTGTATAATATTATATACAGTCACTAGAAGTGTCAACGAATATGGATTCCCAACATTTTAATCGCCATCATTTGTCCAAATTTTTGAACTCATTTCGTACGTATGCTTTTGTTTTTCAATATACCGACAAAAGGAATGACGTCCAATATTTTTTAGCACTTGAATGTTGTTAGGTAAAAATAAAGGTGTCAAAACGGACACGGACAAAAAAGAAAATTGTCGAATTTGTCCGCCGGTCTGTCCAAAACTTGTCGGTCTGTCTATCCTAAAATGATGTTCAAACCATACCTCGTATATCAAACTGATTTTTGTTTGTAATTTTGCTAGAAATGGTTCTTGACTAAGCTGATAAACATATACTAATACATTGCGCATGGCAGAAATATAGATGGCGCTGACAATCAAAAATATTCTCAATATTGGTTCGGATATTCGGACAATAGTCTGAAAAATTGTCCAACCATGTTTGGACGGACACGGACCATACGTTTTCTTGTCCGTCTGTGTCCGAACACCATTTCCTGACAAGTTTCGGACGGACGGACAAAATTTTGTCCGTTTGACAACTTTAGGTAGAACTCACACTTATGTTGTTAGATAGTCTTCAAAGACCCGGGTGTTTCATGGTCCATTACTTGAACTGAGTATCACGTTCATGCCTTCGACAAAATCTTAGCTGATATGCAGAACAATTTTTATAAATATAGGGCTTAAAAATATTTCTTTATTTATTCATTTATTAACACCGCCAAAAAATGGCTGAATATTTGGTTTTGCAGGAAAATGACTCCAAGAGTCATGAAAAACCTTATCTTTTGATTTTTATATAATTTAGAGCATAACAGTAAATAGTTTGATTTTACATAAATATTGGTTCACAACCAATCTGAGAAATCAAATGTAGGGTTATGTTGAACTCTTTATAAGTTTTCCGCACGCCCATGTCGTGAAAACAAAAACATAGCCATACAACCAAGATGGAAATACTTGATAGTAGTCAGATAGAAAACGGTCCAAAATAACCTAACGTTACCAAAGGACAAACGCCATGTGAAGCGTTCAATTTTACACTTTGATTGGAGACTCTAGGACGGCTAAAGTCGTCACTCAATTTATACCGGTGAATAAATTGAAGAGAAGTTTTACGTCGGTTTAGGCAGATCCATGTTGGCTGCAGAGTGATTTGAGTTAATAATTGGCCATGATTTAAACCGGTACCATTTGATGCTTATATAAAAAAAATTCAAAATTGATTTTAAAACTGAAATAATAACTCAGCACGTCAATGGATGGCAATGACAAAGATCAATATCAAAATTTACAATGAATAGAGTAAAAATCACAGATAGGTATCATTATGTCAATACATATAGGAAAATTCGTCAGTCATTTAATGATAATTTGTGTCATGTGTGCCGTGTGAAAATGAGTTGAATCGCGTTCGGATGACGGAAATTCGGGTCATGACTCTTTCATGTTTGTTTTAATCAGCAGCATTCCAATCAAGTGTGGTGTCAGGGCATATGCTGCGTTGTCTTTGTGGACTCGAACAGGTTGACGTCATGGTTCGGGTTTACGGTAACATGAAAATTCGAAATTCCATAATTAGTGAGGGTAGTATCAACGTGTTCTCGTAGAGAACATATACAAAAAATGAGGTTACCTGGATGAAAAATTGACTAGGCGGCTAGGTAGTCATTTGAGTTTGCAAAGCAATCCAAAAGTGGTGTCCGTCATTTTGCGACCCGATAATGCAAAATTCTTCTTTGAGGTCGCTGCTGTGAACAGTTCCGGCACCATGTTCACCATTTTGCACATTTGAGGAATTGGAGCTTCGCGCACCAGCTTCATGTGCTTGTTATTGACCCTGAATTGCTCGCTGTGTCTCAATGAACGCCCATCATTAAATGAGACTTTGTCACTAACCTTTGGACAGTTAGCGCTTGTTCACACGATTGCTCGAACCAAATACCAGATAAATAAAACCCAGAAGGGTCAAAAGTTGAGTCATTAGATTTTCAGCCACCCCAGATATGCTCTTGGGGTACTAGAAGTACCTAATATATGAACCTCAAAAAATTAAACTTTTGTATGGAAGGTACCTAAAATAGGCCTCCCATGGGATTTTCATCATTTCAAGTCGACTTATTGCATCAAAATAATGGGGGCCTAGGAAGAACCCCTTCAAAATTCCTTGAAAAATCGCACTTTTTCATGTGATGTACCTGACCTATCATGTCTAACTGCTATTATTTCCCGAAATAATATAAATCCCGAAAACCTTCGAATGGTCGCGCTTTGCATACAAAATTGCTTTTTAGTCATGGACACACGAGTTTTTAAAGTCTCTTGACAATCTTATATTACTCTAACCTTTTATGGAAAAATTATTTCAAAAGCATTACTCCATTAATTTACAACAAATCGATTCGGTATTTTATAAAAATGTTTATGTGTCTGATGAATAAAGCACTCAGTTTAAATGCTCCTTTTATTTTGTAAAGCAGTGCGGAAAAGTTCGTCTTACATCGGTAAGACTCTTTATTTTGACATTATCTTTATTTTGACATTATTTCATTCAAATTTTCACTTCGATCCGTACATTGTTGTGGATTTTATGGCACTTCGAATTTTGAGAAAATAAAAAAAGTGCAAAAAACTGCCATTTGTAAAAATTTCTATTTTAGCCAAAACAATTTATGACTATATTTTTCACATTTTTCACTTTTTTTGAATTTTTTTCTGCAGACGTCTAGTATTTTTGGGTCCGTTAGCGTAGTACGACTTGAAGAACATTTTATCATCTAATTGAAATATTATATAATGCACCAGAAGGCTGCAATATCAATCCAAAGTGTGCACTTTCGTATGGCATTTTCCCGCCAGCACGGAAAAGGGCAGTGATCTTCGGATTGATATTGCAGCCTTCTGGTGCATGATATAATATTTCAACTTTATAATAAAATGTTCTTCAAGTCACTAACAGTCTATATATGTTCCTCGGGATAAATTTATCCCAGGGATAAATATTTTTGGTATATTTTAACCTCAAAATTTTCAAATCGAATTATAATTCATAGTTTAATCAATTTAATGAGTTTCTGGAGTCTACTTGAACACATTGAAACCAATTCCATAGCAAAAATACATAAAACTACGGATAAATATTTTTGGTCAAAATACCAAAATTTCCAGCAAAATTCTTACTTCTGGCGGTGTAAATTGATGTTAAACATCATTTCTGTTCTTAATGGTTTCATAAATATGGAAAATCTAGTCATGTCACAAAATTAGACTAAAACTGGATACTGGAGATTTTGCATTGATGTTTCCGACTGTAAACATGACAACAATTCATATGCGTGTGCTGTCAAAGTCACTTTATCATACGTCATTAACATTAATGCTTTGACACTGATTGTGGTGAACCGTACGGTGATATTTCGTGACTACGAAATTGGTTAAAGTTTCAATTCTATGGACGCTGCCATATTGAAAATTTACGTGCGATATGGTGCACGCACTCAATAGTTCCACCTATTTTAATAAGGAATATATATAGGTGGCGCTGCCACATCGTCATTTACATCGACTCAAATATCGTCAAATATAATAACATTGTTTATATAGGCTTTTAGCGCAGTACGTGGTGAACAGTGGTGAGATTGGAAACGCCATACATTTTATATACATTATTTGCTTGGGAATTATATTTATTTATTTTCTTTTATTGTTGATATTCGGGCTCTGCAAAGCCTAGGCTTCATCCACGATTTGTTATTCAAAGAAATATTTTGAAAATATCGTGAGTTTGCACTGTCAACACTTGTGTGGTTTTTCATATGATTTTGAAGTCATCGAATATTGTCACCCGTTCACACATTCGATGAACTTGCTACACCAAGTGTTAGTATAGTTCATTGCTGACGTTTTCCAATCCACCTTACGTATTTATATATGAGGCTGTGAGAATGAAAATTGCAATACAGGAATAAACATTCTGAAACGCATCAAGAAAAAAAATTCGCAAAAATGAATCATGAGTTCTGATTATGCAAAAGTGAAACATGAATTTACATGGGCACCATAGGAGGTTCATGGCTCATTTTTGCGTATTCAAAACTCATGATTCACTTTTGCGATTTTTTTTTTCTTGATGCGGTTCAGGATGTTTATTCCTGTATTGCCATTTTCATTCTCACAGCCTCATATGTGTGTACATCAAAATGTCAAAGTTGTCAAGAATCCAACCGTTTTCGTCGTTCTTTGCAATTTATTTTTATACCAGAGATAAGCACTTGAGAGGTATAAAGTAAGTGATTGTTAGTTTTTGCCTCAAAACACAGTCGAACTTGGAGTTGAAACCAATATTCCCTGGTTTTTTATCTCAAATTTTAAGGATATGGACATTTCGAATCATTTTTTTGTCAAAAAATTTCAACATTTTGCTATCCCAGGGATAAAATTTACGACCAGGTTTCTACATGGTCGTAAATTTTATCCCTGGGATAGCAAAATGTTGAAAAACTAACAATTACTTACTTTAAACCTCTCAAGTGCTTATCCCTGGTATAAAAATAAATTGCAAATTTTGTGACATGACTAGATTTTTCCATATTTATGAAACCATTAAGAACAGGAATGATGTTTAACATCAATTAACACAGCCAGAAGGAAGAAGTTTGCTGAAAATTTTGGTATTTTGACCAAAAAAAAATTATCCTTGTGATAAATTTATCCCGAGGAACATAAATAGACTGTAAGAATATATTATTCTTTGAAAATTTTGCTCTAAAATGCACCTGGAAGAAAAAATGTGCATTGAAAAATCACTTACGATTTCCCGTGATCAAATCCCGTGGACAAAATCCCGAAGTGTGAAGAGGCCTTAAGGGATTCTACCGCATCGTATGTATATTAAAATCTGAGAAAAAACTGAAGAAAAAGAACTCAAATTATATTTTGGTCTATATTTTAAGTTCTAACGATTCTCAATAAGCCCGAAATAAATTGGTTCTACTGAAATTTCATCGATTTTTCATCTTTTTATTACAAAAAGAAAACATCCCTATTCAAATTCATAGACCTTCAGAAAAATTCAAGGAAATCCGGAAAAATGTTGAGAAAAAAAAACAGAATGTTTAGTTCTATTCTCTTGAGAAACTTTCATAAATGCTGAACAAACCAAAAATAATACGATTTAATGATTAACAATTTGGGGTCCGTACGGATCCCACTTGGCCGTTTATTGACCTTAATCTCTTGGCCGTCCGAGAGTTAATTCTATACATGATAATCAGTGTGCCGTAACGTGCGTACGCTCTCTTCAATTTCTATGTCGTTGCCTACATTGTGACAATTTGCGATCCCACGATGTCGTACAATTGAAGCAATCACTCTCCTACGTTCCAGCGATGTCGTGATCACGGCTTCCAGTCGCTTGTTGTATTCAGTGATAATATATCCATTGGCTGATGTATGATATTCTCTTCGGACGAACTGTTTGAACTTTCTCAAAACGCTCTTAATCTTGTCGATATGTACGGCATAAGGTGGCAGCCATACAACATTACAGTACTCAAGATGAGACTGAACCATTGCGTAGTACACAGTTCTGAGCGTTTGAACAACGGTTATGTCGTAGCAAAATCTTTTGATGAATCCAAGGGCTGCGGTCGCCTTCGATGTTATCGCGTCAATGTGCTTGGCAAAACTCAGCTTCTGGTCAATAATGATACCGAGATCTTTGTGATCCGATGCGCGCTTGAAAGTGAAATCACCATATTTGTACTTTGTATCGATAATGTCCTTCCTAAAGGTGGCAAACGGACGGACAGAGGACGAACATTTCGTGTCCGTCCATCCTTTTATTGATTTGGGACAAACGGACATTTGTCCCAATGTCTCATTTCAAATTAGGACAAATGGAACATTAGGACAAATGTCCGTTTGTCCCTTTTGACAATGGGACATCAGGACAAAATGTCCGTTTGTCTTAATTTGAAATGGGACATTTGGACAAATGTCCGTTTGTCCCAAATCAATAAAAGGACGGACGAACGAACAAATTTTGTACCTTTGCCACCTTTAGTCCTTCCTCTTTGTGGTGATTGTAAGGACAGCGCATTTGTTGCGGACCCCAACCAGAGAAACCTCAAAATTTTCAAATCGAATTATAATTCATAGTTTAATCAATTTAATGAGTTTCAAAAATACGTAAAACCAAAAATTTTGCCGTTCAAAAGTTGCAATCGAAAATCATTCATATTGAGAAAAAATTGACTTGAAATTCTTTCGACGAAATTTTGAAATACACTCTTTCATGATGGTTCCAGAGAATCATTTCAGCATAGATATTCAATTTTCTGATGAGATCTCAGTAACTGAATGCAGTGACTACGAACGTTGCTGTGAGTGAACAAGCGCTCTACATTCAAGCGCGGACATGCATATACATTGGTTTACAAATAATCGGTGTGAGTGTGCGTGCGAAAGAAGAGAAGAGAGGAGAGACGAACGAAATGTGTTGCATCGAGCGATGTCCACTTGACACAGTGTCAGTGTGGCGAATACTTACTATTTGTTTCTTGCAATTGTTGTTCCTTCTTCTTTTTCTTCTAACAAATTGGTTGGCAGCACAAACACAAGCAAAAAAAATCACATTAAAAAAATAAACAAAACAATATTTGATTATTTTGTTATTGTGTTTAGTTATAGAATTTTATTTTTTTTACTTGAGTTTGTGCTGCCAATCAATTTGTTAGAAGAAAAAGAAGAAGGAACAACAATTCCAAGAAACAAAGAGTAAGTGTTCGCCACACTGACACTGTATCAAGAGACGTTCACTCTCATCGTTCAATGCGACATAATTCGTTCGTCTCTCCTCTCTTCTCTCCTTTCGCACGCACACTCACTCCGATTGTGTGTAAACCAATGTATTTGTATGTCCGCGCTTGAATGTAGAGCGCTCGTTTACTCACAGCGACGTTCGTAGTCACTGCATTCAGTTACTGAGATCTCATCAGAAAATTGAATATCTATGCTGAAATGATTCTCTGGATGGTTCAATGGACTGAATGAGTTCCTATATACCAACAGAACTCATTGAAACCAATGCCATGTTTCGAATTTGCAAAACAGAAAAATTCACCTGCCAAAAGATGATGTGGAGAATTCTTCATGGGAACAAATACACTCAATTTTTTCATCGACGAAAAATCGTTCAATTCAAATCGTTCAGTTTTTGATAGTTTCATGAAATGATTATATTCCTAAGGAACAACTGAACTTATTGAGTCGGCTTCTGTGTTTTAAATATTTGAAAGAAAAGGTTTTCCCAAAAGTTCCCGAGTTCCAAAGCCCGAAAAAATCCCGAGAAATCCGTAAAATCCCGAGCGCCCGAAGAGGTCAGCCCGAACCCCGCCCGTGCCCGAAAAGTTCGGGCTCGGGCGGGACTTCGGGACGGGCGCCCGTTGCGACCACTGGTTGAGGTTAAGGTGCAAATTGTTAATATTGCACCATGTTTTTAGTTTATCGATGATCTGTTGTAGCACTTCAGCATCCGAGATCGAGTGAATGATTTTGGCGGTTCTCACATCATCGGCGCATAAGGAAAGAACACATCATCCATTTCGTCCAATATGTCGTTGATGAACAGCAGAAATAGAGTGGGTCCGAGATGACTTCCTTGCGGTACGTCAGATGATACGTTGAATTCGTTTGACTGGCTGCTCCCATACTTAACGAATTGCGTTCTGTTTGACAGATATGATTCTATCCAAGCAAGAAGATTGTATAGCAGGTTGAACGATCTAAGTTTTAGGGTCAATCTCTCGTGGCTAACTCGGCCAAACGCTTTACTGAAGTCCGTGTATAGAACGTCCACTTGATCTGCTCTTTCGTAGTCATAGTGGTATTGCAACGACCATAAAATATATCAAGCTCTTTCCAAGTCTATGGATAGTGTCGAACTTTTGTTCAAGCTCTACCATCTAAATGTACAGTGAAATAATTTACGGGCACGACGTAAGATGGCGTTTTTTCTGGTCAAAAAAGTTGCGATATCCCTTTGTTCGTAGTGAAAAATCATCTCCCACACAAATGTAAGTTTTTTTACACAACCACAACGGTTTGTTTTCTAAAAAGAAAATGACATGAAACAAAAATAAAATCTAAATGAGAATTTTTTTTAGTTTTATCCACCGCCAAGGGATGGCTGGTTATATCATAAAGATAATAGAATATGCGAAGTTTGAAAAAAACATTTCCATAGAAAAAATGAATTATGATAATGGTCTTGAATGACCCTAACAACATGATAGTTTAAAAAAAATTCGGACGGACGAAAAGTTGTGCGTTGACACTTCTGTAAAATTTAAATTATTTAATACCTTTACATTGCTTGATTCCAATTCTACAGATGAAGCTATATAATCGAAATTTTGCAATTGGAGAGCGCATAGAATATATGGGATGGGTTAATGAGGGCGTTATTAATAGTAACATATCATGGCAAACATACAAACCAAGGTTTTTAGTGCTCAAAGGGACGGAAGTAATGCTCTTTGACTCTCCACCGGTAAATAAATTTGGTCAAATGGCCACCAATGTGAATGTTTTATACCAAAATCCACACGTAATCATCAAGCCTATTCCAACAATGTATAACACGGCCATGATATGGCCGTTTGGAAATTTTGATCGTTTCATTTTACCATGTTCCAATGACCATATCTTGATAAATGCCGCGGGATTTTGATGTTTAATACCAAAGATGACATCTACTTTTTAAGACCTTTCAAATTATTTATTTCGTAAAAATTTCAATAGACTTTCAGATTAAAGCCTTAATTTGGGTTGAATAAGTAAAAAAGACATAGAAATAATGCATTTTTTAAAGTCGTACTGCGTACTCAAACTTTTAACAGGTACTGTACATTTAATGCTACTTTTTTCTTTGTTTCAACAGCTGAGCGTTACTGGCCTTACAAAGTCGAGTAGTGCTTATAAGGTGTATCAAACAATGTTTCGCGTGATCAAAGAATCTGAAACCGTCGATGCGCGGCAGCATTGTTTTTTGCTTCAAAGCTCGCCACCACATACAACACCTCGGTATTTAAGTGTGGAAACGCGTCAAGAACTGTTACGAATAGAAAATAGTTGGAACTCAACGATCATTACAAGTGTTATTAAATTGGGTGTAAGTAAAATATTTTCATTATTTATTACATATTCGTATGCAACTTCCGGTTATATTATAGTTTGAAAATATATTACATCCATAAAATACTCAATATATATTATGTAACATCTACTTTGGTTTGACTGGGTCTATGCTCAATTCTTTCATTGCCAAGCAGCGCAAAACATTTGCAGTTTCACACTTAGGTCGAAGTGGTGGTTTGACATTGGATTGGCAATCGGGATTTTCACTAACGGAAGGTGCTGACGCAACTGTCGTATGGCAGTATAAATTTTCAGGTAATTTTCAGAATATTCATAGTAAAACTAAAATAAATAGCTAAGTACGTCACACTCATTATTATATCGTTATTGTCTGGCTGTAAATCGACATTTACTACTAAAAATCGGACAATATAATTTGAATTAAATAACAAACTTTTTTAAAATTATTATTCTGCACCATTCAGCGTTTCTTCGCCAGAGGTGGTTCATTTGGTATAAATATTTGGTTGCATATTTACAATATTTATAATGTATTCATTATTTCTTTAGTTTCTCCAAGTTCTAATTCTTCTGAAATGATCGGTTATTCTCTGTTATACAGTATTTGTACTAACATTAAAATCAATTAAATAGGTATCACAAATTAGAATACTACTAGTATCACATTCATTCGATCGATTAGGCGGTTTGATAGGAACAAAATATTTATAAAATTCATTGTATGTGGTTAAACATTGAATAGTGTTATTGGCTTCAGCAATGTGTGAATGCAGTTTTTGATGAACATATTCGGTATTCCGTCGGGACCAGACACCAAGTTGCTTGGCAATTCATTGATCTTCTCCATAACCAATTCCTCAGAATTCCTCCGCGGAAAGTTTGCACAACGGTTAAATAATATCGGATCATTTTCATCATAGCTTGCTTCGGATCCATCAATCGGTTGTGTATACATTCTCCTAAAGTGTATTGCAAATGAATTGGCAATTTCGGTAAATTTTTTTCCATCATATTCCATTTCACTTGGAAAATCGTTATTGGTTTTATTGCACGTTCTCACATACATACTCAAAGAATTTCTGTGAATCTTCATTTATCAATTGTTCCATCTCGAGTTTGTAGTTCCTAAAAGCATAACGGAAGCTTGGCATGATCCTTACTCGTCTCATTGGTAGAATTAAACTTCTTAATTTTGTGCAATGTATTGACTCTGTTCTTCAAATTGATCAATTCACCATTAAATCACTTCGGATTACAGATTTACGGGCAATAACATATTATTAACTATACTTAACAACATAATAATAACGGCCGATATGTTATTAAGATATTGACATAACATATTATGTGTCGAGTGTTATCTTGATAAATCCTATGATTCGGCGCTAATAATATATTATTAACTATAATAATAACATATTATCAAGATGGATATTATTAACTCAATTAAGTTTATTGCGAAAATGTTATACAGAAAAGTTGAGCGGAAAAATGTCGATGATGAATGAGCGGAAAAGGGATAGCTATATAGTAAACTGTATAGTAAACTATAGTGAACTATATTATTATTTCTTTATTGGCAAATGTAAAAAATCACATGAACGCCCTTACAAACTAGATACATCGAATTTTTCATATAGGGGAAGAAGGGGCCGCATTGCCGCACTTTTTTTCAAAGAATTAAAACTAAAAAAAAATGCAAATAATTCCGGAAAGTTTAGTATCATTTTAAACAGAGATTACTATGAGATATTTTTATTCATATGGGATAGAAATATCGCATAAAAATATCAGATATTTTTCATGCGTTGCGTTGTTGTAACGCATTTGCAGTACAAAATTCATATTCCTTTCTGCGTCCTAAGTTAAGATTGCTGAATTCGGCTCGGATCAGTCTCAAATTCGACTTGGGACGCAGAAAGGAATATGAATTTTGTACTGCAGATGCGTTACAACAACGCAACGCATGAAAAATATTGATATTTTTATGCGATATTTCTATACCATATGAATAAAAATATCTCATAGTAATCTCTGATTTTAAAGCTAGCCTTTTTACCTAACTTTTATAGAAGGACAATTTTAGATATGACCATCGGCGTGGAAGCCGATTTTTTGTGACATCAGAAAATGGTGGGACGAATCGCCGCAGCCGTATTTTCAGTGCGTTTTATAAGTTTATCTTTGAGAAATTGTTTATTTCATGAGTTAATTATCTTTAGACATTCAAATATAAACAATTTAAACCATTGGTTGACTGATTTGAACGTTTCATGACTCTCAAAAAATAAAAGAAAACTAGTACCTGAAAGTGATAAAACGTACCCATTAAATGTTAACAATTTTGAACGTATATCAGTCAATATTGGGTATCTTTGAGATCTGAAACTGTCTGTCGATAGGAATGGTGCCCATTTACATTGTTCCATTCACAGATATGAATTATAAGCAGTTATGAGTGGTTTATTTATTAGGTTTTTATCGGTTTAGGGTCATCAATCTGAAGCTCATGGTGCGACATGGGAATATCAGAATGGAATCAAAATCAATCCAAGGCTTTGCCTCAACATGCCAAAACTTCTGCCGTTTTCGGATCTTAATTATCTCGTCAATTGTTTGAGTTATGCCGCGCACAAGAAATGCGAACGCAGACTTAGATGACGCCATAATCAAATCATAGTTTTGGACATAACTCCGTCAAAAAATAATGTTTTTGAGATCTGAAACTTTTAGTTGACCGTTATAAAGTCCATCTAAATTTCCACATTCACAGATATGAGTTCCGAGTGACCAATTAGCGATAAAACAAAAAAATGAGGTGCGGCGATTCGCCCCATATGTTTGTGCGGCGATTCGCCCCACCACCACTATTTCTGTTTGAAGCTCGATTTAATCACAAAAATTGAAAATATTCAAAACAAATTTATATCCATAAGAAAGAGCTGGTGATGAGCTACAAAATACATCAACCCGTTTTTAAAAAATATTAAATTTTAATGGTCAAAGCTGAAATTCTGTGGAGCCGAAAAATGAACTTAGCGCTCGTGCAAAACATGTTTGTACCTGTACAGAGCCTGTACTCAAATGAAAAATATCGAAATATATAACCAAATATCGGGAATTAATTGCTCTTCAAAATGACACTAGAACTTTTTGTATATGTATTGCCGTTTTCGTGAAATGGCCGGTGGGGCGATTCGCCCCACCTTCCCCTAAATTAAATTAAATTATGTGAAAAATAATCATGTTAATTAATGTTTTGTTGTCTTGATTTCTTAGGTTTCTTATTGATACTTGGTGCTATTTGTGTATTAAAAAGTATGCATTTAAGTTTCTTCTAGGGGTTAATAAACAAAAAAATAATTAATAATTACTACCGATTTTTATATTTGGGTAAAATTTTGTCAATATAAAACGTTTGCGTTTAATAATGAACAATATTTTCAATACGACAAACACACAGCTGAACTGCAATACCGATCGGTGTTAACACATTGAAAACCATATAACATGTTTAATTAAAATACATTACATCATGTATAATGGAAAAAAAATAAATAATGCAATTCAAAAAAGACAATTCAATATCTAATCACAATAAACATATTATAATATATAATATAAAGTTGTCTTGATTATAACTCGTTGTAAATGTACGAATGCTTACGTACAGTAAATGCTTAAGTACAGAACTGCTAAGCTTGAGTGCTAAAGGTGTCAATAGGACGGACATTTCATTTTGTCCGTCCGTTTAGAATTCAAGGACGGACAAAATGAAATTGTCCGTCCGTTTGGGATTTAGGACGGACGGACGGACATATTTTTAGGACGGACGGACAAAATATATCAAACGGACGGAAACGGACAATTTTTAAATGGACGGACAAAAATTTGTCCGTCCTATCAATGATTGGTGTTCGTTATCACATTAGGAGACCATACGATTGCTCATGGAAGAATGAGAAAAAATGAACCACAGTGATCGAATAGAAAAAGAAGAGGGAAAAATTAAATATTTGATTTGATGCAATAGAAAATTTATCTCGATGCGCCAAGTCACGAAACGCTCACAATACCGTGGAAACCAATGAGTCTTGACCGGTGTTCCACAGTTGAACTTCCACTCATTTTGTTGCACACTTAAAAACAATAGCACACGTAAAGATCCATTATATTCAATTTCAGGATGAACGAGAAATTTCCATTACACAAATATTATTGTTTTTTTTTTCATTTGAAGTACTGAATACATACGAAGCTTGTGTTTAAAACTGCTACAAATTCATGCTAATAAAAAACTAATTTTTGCAAATTATAGCGAAATCGAATCCTATATCGATGCAAATTATAACGACTTGATGAATGAAGGACCTGACGTCAATCAAAATGAAAGCAATACGGGTATAGCATCAATTAAAATATAGACACTGTTTTTTAAATGAACATTGTTTTGTTTTTATTCAATTTTTTTTTCAATCAAAAAAATGAAAAAAATTGGGAAGAGAATACACGGAAAAAAACTGAATAAACACTGTTTTTTACATGAACATTGTTTGTTTTTTATTCAATTTTTTTTTTCAATCAAAAATAATACGTTCATTCTTAACTCCAACCAACGACTGCTAGTGTCGAACGTAAATGCACGTAAATGCTACATAATATTAAACGCACCCATTAATTTTTCATTGTTTTCCTATTAAGAATGGATGCGTTTAGTATCATACACCAGCAGTCCATGACTCCAACTTACAAAAAACTAATCGCATCGTCTTCATTTTGTCCCAGTTTTGCTAATGATAACTTGGACACCAATCATTAATAGGACGGACAAATTTTTGTCCGTCCGTTTAAAAATTGTCCGTTTCCGTCCGTTTGATATATTTTGTCCGTCCGTCCGTCCTAAATCCCAAACGGACGGACAATTTCATTTTGTCCGTCCTGGAATTCTAAACGGACAGACAAAATGAATTTGTCCGTCCTGGAATTCGAAACGGACGGACAAAATGAAATTGTCCGTCCTTGAATTCTAAACGGACGGACAAAATGAAATTGTCCGTCCGAAAAAAAATCACAAAAGGACGGACGGACAAAATCTGTCCTATTGACACCTTTATTGAGTGCATAAATGAAACTTAGCTTGACACATACTAAAATCCATGTTTATGCATAACCTCTCTTTTGTTGCAAGCATTTCATTTCTACTCAGGCGTTGCATTGTGTATTCATTATGTATTTAAGCTAAGCAGTTCTGTACTTAAGCATTTGGCATTTGGAATTTGGTACATTTACAACGA